AGCTAATACGTCTGTCACATAATAACCAGTGGGTCGGACCAACGCCTCGCCAGCAGTGTTTTTTGGGCAGGACATGTAGGAATGACGGCAGTCAGCAGATTACAAACATGGCTACCCTGGAGGACTCACCTGTCCACACCGCAATCGGATTTAGTTAAAATAGTGATAATTTCTCTTTAAAAGAAGAGCAAAGACAAGCGGTTTGTGCATTTGTAGATGGGAAAGATGTCTGTGCTTTTCTTCCGACACAATTTGGAAAAAGTTTGATTTATCAGCTAACTCCACTAGTTTTGAAAACCATGCAAACGACTCCTACTGTGATCATAGTGTCTATATCGGTGGCTCTCATGGACGACCACGTTATGGAAGCAATTAATCTGGGGATTTCTGCTATGAAGGCTTAAAACGCCTTTAATGCACAAGTTTGTCTTGCAAATTCTACAAAAATTGTTGCACGATGACATGATGACTTCTCCATAAACATCTGTGGAGTGAAAAAAAGTTGAGATATGTCTGTTCTTAGTCTCACAGGCTCCAAACGAAGGTCATAAGAGATAAGACTTAGTTACACAGCCTCCTTCATGGCATTAAGGGGAGAACTGCTGGTTAGAGGAGATCCATCGGACCAGTGAAAGATATATTAACCGAACAGCAACGGCCTTGAAGAACTAAAGTTGTTTTGCTTCAATATTCGTCTGTGAGAAAGTTCTTTGTGTAGGGGTGGGATAGTTCCAATGGAAAGTGTGTGTGTTGGGACTTTTGTAAGGTATATCTATATCTCTCCATCTGAGGACGTTAATACATTCTAACCTTTTTTCTTGAAAGAAAATCTTGCCTCCTACGTCCATACATCCAATAATGGTCTACATTTCAGTAAACACGTCCAACCTGTCATTCCTGGCGCACGTCTGAAACGTCACCATTCGCTTCTACCATTGGCTGAAAGAATATTCCAAAAAAGTCCCAAAAAGTTCAAAAACAATCCACTGGACTTTGTTTCCAAGCTTGAAGATTCCCATCCAGGAAGGTTTTTCAATTCAAAATGTCATAAATAGCGTTGATAAAGCGTCCAGATTGATAAGGTAGATCATATCAATCTGGCTACTGTCAGGTTAGGAGGTCTGTGCTCAATCAGAGGGTTTAGTTCGTTGTTCTGTTGTTGAATATGTTTAAACACTAAAAGAGGAGAACTTACGCCCCAAGGGAAACACTGGATTTGACCTTTGATCTCATGATTGCTTGCTGGTAGAAAATATTCTGGAAAACAGGAGCATAAAACGTTATTTAATTTGCAGACAAACCAGCAGAGATTAGTTGGAATTTATTTCAGTGATTAATAATCAATCTAACGAAGCTACATGTTAAAACCTGTTAAAAACTTGAACTTACCATCCGCCTGTATTGGTCGAAGGTGATTTTCTGTGATTTAAGAACATAAAGACTATTTTACATCGTTATGAAATATGATACACTGCAAAACTACTGGAACCTCAAACTTCAGTTTTCATTAATGTGTTGGACCAGAAAAGGTAGAACTGATAACATGAAGGAGAGGAAAGAGAAGCACGGTTAGAAAAACCTCAAACAAAAACCTCCACGTCGTGGCCTGAATGTTTGCATCCGATCATGGAGAGACAGGGAGACTTTATGGTAGAGGGGTAAAAAGCTAACCTTAAACATGTCATAACCTGTTATTTAACATTTCTAATCCTTCAAAAGTCTCTTTAGATTGTTTAATCATTTTTAGAAAAAAATATATAATGGAGCTCATTCTGACTGTTTTTTAAATTCCTTTATTCTTGCGGGGTTTGGTAAACTAGGCTTTTCTGTATGTGCAGTCATTTTAATGTAGAGTTAGCAACATTAGCAGTTAGCCATGGTTCATTTACCATCAATTAGACAGTAGGAAATAAGTTACACAAACAGCAATTTTTCCTGATGGGCTGCAGGTGAGTGATAGCAAAGCAGTCTAATGTTGTCATGTTCATAACAGGTAGGGCTAATGTTAGCATAGTAATAGCAAGACAGCTAAGGAGGGCTAATGTTAGTGTGATGATAGCAAGGAGGGCTAACATTAGCATGGTGATAGCAAGGAGGGCTAACATTAGCATGGTGATAGCAAAGAGGGTTAATGTTAGCATCCTTCTATGACTGATGTAAATACAAATGGACCAAAGTCGAGCGTTCTAGTGGCTCACATTAAAAAACCTCCAGATTTTCTGGATATTTAACTGAAGCCCAAAATAAACAAACATTTTAACTGGAATAAAATCTAATTCCAGGTGACGACTGCTTTATGAAGGACTTAAAGGTTTGTCACAAACCGGGAAGAGAAACTTGATAGCACATGCAACTACAGACTGAACTCTGACATCAGAGGAACAGCATTAATCAATTTAACCTGTTTATATTCATTAATGTGAAAAACATCTGCTGATCATCAGGAAGTTGATCCAGTTCCTGCAGCTTGAAAGATGGGCTGGCAGCTAAAAATGTCTGAAGGAACTGAGGCGAGAAGGAGGCTAGACATCCCTCCTCTGGATCCAGGAAGGCAAACTCAAATCCTCCAGAGCTGCTAAGGCTGCAACCTTTAGATCTTTCCCTGGTTTTAAGCCCCCGTCACACCTTGATGATTTATCCAGCGTCTGCCTGACGTCCCAGATTCTCCTAAACGCTGGCAGATGCTGAACTTTCTATGGAT